CAGGATGAAACCGCACGGCGCACATTTTTCTGTGGCAGGTGCAGCCGCGCCCGCGCGCCCGGCTGACGTGCGCCAGGTGGGGCCTCCGGGGTCAGGCTCGCCCTGCCCGTGGGCGTGGGGATGGCACTTGTCATCGGAGGCTCCGGGAACGGCCCGCGGTCCAGCCAGCCCTCACCGTCCCGCCCGCGCGGTGATGCAGACGTGAAAGTATGTGCCTGTTCCTGTCCCTTTTTTTAAAAGAACATGCGGATCCTGGGCGCGTGTGAGCTCCGTCGCTTGACAGCTGTGACACAGCCCAGGGCACCTGGACCGCAGCCGAGCCCGCTCACCGGGCGGGGGGCGCACAGGTCCCAGCTCTTCCCGCGCGGAGGTTGGGGTGACTCAGCCTGTCTGCGCGGCTTCCTGCGGGGGGGCGGCTCCTGGCCCCGTGGACGGCAGCCCCCCGGTTTCTTTACACCCCCGATGGCTGGTCTGCCCCACCCACTTCTCACTCAGCGGCCACACTGTTCTCGCTGCTCGGGACGAGCCTGGGGAAACTGGCCTTCGGCGGCCGCCCTCCTCTTCAGGGGCCGCCGATGCCGCTCTGCCTTTGCCACCAAATTGGCCAGCCTTTCCCTTCCGGCTCCTGCTTCGTGCCTCTCGATCCTTCCAGGGCCGGTCAGCTTCAGTCACAGGGGTGACTCCAAGCGCCTGGGCGCCAAGCATGTGTGACTGTGCACGGTGTGAGGGAAGGGGCGGTTCTCACGTGTCCCCACGAGGACAGCCGCTGTCCCGGACCCTCTCGGCCACCACGTGCGGCCACCTCGGACACGGAGCAGGCGTCCCTTCGTGTGGGGCTCGTTCCCGCCCCGGCCTGGCCCCGTGACCTGGCTGTCTCTCCGGCCGGGCTGCCCCTCGGACGGCCAGGCCTCCTGTCCTCTTGCTCCACCAGCTCAGGGTCCGAGCCGGCTGCCCGGCCCAGCATGCACCTGGGGGCCTCCTCGCGGGTCTGCCTTGAGCGTCGCTTAGCGAGGTCTGGCCGTTCCTCCTCGGCGTCCTGGTAGCCCCTCAGCGACACACTCATCTTGCCGATGTCTCCGCAGAAGAGGCAGAGATCGCCGAGTCCCGTGCTCTCTCCTGCTTCCCCGCCGTTAGCATCCCCGGCAGCGTGTGGCGACGGAAACGAGGAATTCCCACGCAGCCGCGCCGGCCACCTGTCCGGGCGGCCCAGCTTACCCCGTGTCCCTGTTCTGTCCCGAGACCCAGGCTTGGTTCGCAGGCCTTGTGCCCTCTGTGCGGCCTGCTCCTTCATGACCTTGACCCTGGAGAAGCACTCCTCAGGGGCCCTGACCTCTGGGTGGGTCTCACACTCCCTCGGGCTCAGGCAGGCGACATGGGTTTGGAGAAAGTGCCACTGATGTGAGGTGCTCGTCTCACTGTGTCACGTCATGGTCCGTGGCATCCTCACCCGGGTGAGGGGGTCCAGCCAGGCTCCCTCCACCCCGCCCCCGTGAGGGCGCCGCGTCTTCTGCGCACAGTCCAGTCGTGAGAAGCCAGCCGAGCCGGCCCTGCCCCCCTCGGGAGGGCGGATCAAAGAACCGGGGACATCTGTTCCCACGGCGCGGCGAGGGGCACAGGTTTGAGGGGAGATGCTTTGAAGTTGCGCCTCCAAGTCGCACCCACTGGCTTCCGCGTCCATCGCTCATTGTGGAGGCTGCCGCGGCCGGTCCCGCCGCATTCCCGCACTGCCTCCTCGTCCTCATTCTTCCTCGGCGCTCAGGCCCTCTCCCGCCAGGCCTCCTTCACTCGCCGCGGGGCTAGCGACGGCTCGGGACTACGTGTGGAGCTGAAGACCCAATCCTGTTCGTTCTTCTGTTGCTCAGATTAGGCCATTTTAATGGCCACTGGATGGCAAGCTCTTTGGGGTTCCCGGGTCTCCGTGACAGGCCCTCATCCTCCCCCCCATCCAGTGTTCGGCCTATTCCAGACAGCACCTGGGCTGGGCCTGCGTCTCCCCGCTCAGCCCCAGCCTGGCCCCTTTCGCTGGGGTGAGGGGTTAGAGACCAGCCCCCGGGCCCCGGGGTGGGCGTGTGGCCTCAGGGCGGCCGCTGCTCCCAGGATCTCAGCAGGCGGAGCGGGAGACCCCGTCCGCACGTAGCCCGAGGGTGCACCCCTGCTGCCCGTGTCCACGTCAGCTAAGTGGGCGCTCGGCCGGTGTTCTGACCGCAGGGCTCGTCCACACGCACCCCCACCCACTGATTTACTTCTTCCTCGGGCGGCCGGAAGCCTGGCTGCCGTCGTCCGTCGCTTATGTGCGTGTCTGTGGACCGTGTGAGCGGCAGCACCCTCGCGGGAACGTTTCGCAAGCGCGTCCTGTGTTTACCAGCTGCTCTTCCTTGTCCTTCACCCAGTCGTGTCCGGTCCGGGGCCGTTTCCCGAGGCTCGGGGGCCGCGCGCCTTCCCCTTCCCTTCCTGCTGGGACTAACGAGGACTTCGCTGTGTCTGCAGACAGTAAGCTGGCGCGGGCACGCACAGGCGGGTGGGTTTGGCCGTGTCACGGACCCACCACCGCAGCAGCACCCAGAAGGCCCTGGGCCGAAAACTTCCGTGTGCGGCCCTCCCCCAAACACGGGCGTCTTCCATCTGCTTCGGGTCCCTGCCCTCCGTCCTTTTCCCGAAGGTCATGTACCCGGACCCAGACAGTCTGTAGCTCTTTGCCTCTGGCCACTCTCACTGCCGCGGAACATGCGTGTGAGGTTCTCCCGTGTTGTTGACCCATCATTGGTTTCCTTCGATGGCGAGCAGTCTTCTCGTAGACGGACGCACCACGGTTTCCCTTCACGGGCAGGGCGGCGCGGGCGTTGCCAGGTTTGGGCGACTGTGAGCGAAGTTGCTGTGCACGCTCACGTACAGGCTTTTGGGGACATGAATCCCATGCATCGGGTGTGTGTGTTTTAGGGGGGACAGCTGGGTCCCCCGGCGAGCGACTGACTTGGAAGGAGCAGCCCAGCTCTCTCTACCGAGGCCACCGTCCCCGCCCCCAGCACCACGCCGGCTCCTCGCGGCTCACACCCTCGGCACACGGCAGGCCGGGCTCCATTCTTTCTCTTCGAAAGTAAAGTCAGGAGTGAGGCTCTTTCTTCTCCCCAAATAAATAACCGAAGCCACTTAGAGACGTGAGCCGTGCTAACGGCGCGGGGGCTCACTGCGGGTTTGATCGGCTTTTCCCTCGTAACCGCAGAGGCCGGCGGAGCAAGGCACCCGCTGTCTGCTGACCGGCAGCCCATGCATCCAGCGGGGTTGTCTGCTGCTCGCCGGCAAGCTGCGCCCGCGCCTCTGGTCCCGGGGCAAGTCCTCGGCTGGGTGGTGCCGCGCCCAGGTCTCCCCGTCCGTGGCCTGACTCCTGTCCTTGGCGGTGTCTTTCGCAGGCAAATGCTTTTCATTCTGATCACGTCCAGTCCTTCCATTTCCCCTCACAGATCGAGCTTCCGGTGTCGGAGTTCAACCTTCAGGGCCCGGTCTGAGGCCCAGGGATTTCCCGTTTCCTTCAGGGAACGTCCCTGCTTCGCTTCAGGGCTCCGGGAAGATGGTCTATTCCAGCTCTCACACTTCCACGGTCCGATGGCTGACCGCTCACAACGTCAGGTGTAAATGCTGAATACACGAAAATTTACACACACACACACACACACACACACACACACACTTAAATTACAAATAGATTTAGGAAACAGTTGCATTACTTTGGGTGGGAAAACCTCCCTTTTTCAAAAAAGCAAAAGAGAGGCATACGATTTTAAAAACCAAACGCGTGCCCTGGCCGGTGGCTCAGTGAGCTGGAGCGTCCTGTATACCCGGTTGCAGGCTCGATGCCCAGTCAGGCCCAGGCCTGGGTTGAGGGTTCAAGCCCTGGCCGGAGGTGTACGGGAGGCGGCCGACCAGTGTTTCTCTCTCATATAGATGTTTCTCTCTCCGGCTCTCTCTAAAACAAAAGTCAGTAATAAGGAATAATCGTATCCCAGGTATAAAAGCACGACTGCAGCCACCACAGCAGAGAAGGAAGAGGCAGGAACCGCGAGTGGCTGACACTGATGGCCTGGGGGAGGGGGCCTTTGTGAATCTTTACCTTTTACAAGGAGTGATTAACTCTTTTACAGGGAAAACTTTAAATAAACTTAGCGCCCGGCCGGTGTGGCTCAGAGGTTGGGCGTTGACCTAGGAACCAGGTCACAGTTCGATTCCCGGTCAGGGCACGTGCCCAGGTTGCGGGCTCGATCCCCAGTGTGAGGCGTGCAGGAGGCAGCTGACCCATGACTCTCACCGTTGATGTTTCTCTCTCTTCCCATCTCCCTTCCTCTCTGAAATCAATAAAAATATATTTTTTAAAAACTTTAAATGTAAAACAGTAAGTCCAGACTGAAAATCAGGGGGCGGATGGGTGCTCCCCGCCTGTCCTGGGCCCTGTCAGCCTGGGGAGAGAGGCTGGGAGCTCGCATGTGCGGCCCCTCGAGGGGCCTGCACCCCCGGGTGCAGGTGGTGCCGTGGCCTCTTGGTGAGCGGCTGCCCCTCCTCCTGGCTTTCTGTCCTTGCCAACGGGACGCTGACCCCCCACCCCGGCTATTCAGTGAGGTGCCCGCGGCCTGCCGTCGGCAGGACAGTGTGGGGGCGGGGTGTGCCTCTGCCTGGACTTGCGCTGGTCTGATCCTCGACCTGAGTAGCAGGTGCGAAGCGGAGGGAGCCCAGGGCCCAGTCCTCACGAGGCATCGCGGCCCCTGCTGCTCCGTAGCCACTGGAGCCCAGGCCCGTGGGGCCGGTCAACCCCAGGTGCTCGGTGCTGGGCTCCCCGTGGGGTCTCCACCCCACCCCTAGGGGACATCGCGTCCGTCCGTGGGGAGGCCCAGGTGTCAAGGTGTCCGTGCCAGCGGGGCAGGTTGGGTGGGCATCCGAGCCCAGCTCTGGACAGCCCGGGCCCTTGCCCACCGAGCCTCCCCTGGCGTCTGACGTGCCCGCTCTCCCCGCAGTGAAGAAGAGCCCCACGCTGCTGGAGGTGAGCACGCCCCAGTTCACCAGGACCAACAGCTTCGCCGAGGACCTGGACCTGGAAGGGGAGACCCTGCTGGTCCCCATCACCCACGTGTCGCAGTGAGTGCCTGCTCGCGGGACGGAGGGGGTGGGGGCGGAGGCTGCCGCGTGCGGGGGCCAGGCCACTGGCCAGCAGGGCGGCGCCGAGGCGGGGCCAGGCGGGAGGGGCGCAGGGCACTGCCCGCCTCGGCTGAGCGCCTGGCCCCTGGTCTGACTTACGGAAAACCCGCCGGTCACTTTCCACCTGTTTTCGTGCTCGGAGCATCTGAGATTGCTGTTCTCCCCCCCGCCCCCCGCCCGGCCCCGCCTCCGCTCCCCCAGAAAGAGACGACTTTGTTTTTGAGCTTCTCCCCGTGGCGCCCTGGCCAGGGCTCCTTCAGGTGCAGGCAGTGGCTCTTTCCGTGCCTTCCCGTTGGCCTGCCTGAGGCACAACGGGCCGGGATGCCGCCTGCACGCCCGGCGAGGTGGTCAGTGCCCCTCCGTCAGGGCACCCAGCGTGACAGCCTGGGGCGGGGTCAGTGGGACCGTGAGGCCCATTCCGGCCACTGCCCACCAGGGGTGTCCCTGGAGAAGTCTTGTTGTGTCAGGATGTGTGAGCCCACGCTTGGCCCTTCCCAGCCCCTTGCTGGCCCTCCCTGCCTCTCTCTCTGGGACGGTCCCCCAGGCCTCCTGTCCTCTCTGGGACGGTCCCCCAGGCCTCCTGTCCTCTCTGGGACGGTCCCCCAGGCCTCCTGTCCTCTCTGGGACGGTCCACCAGGCCTCCTGTCCTCTCTGGGACGGTCCCCCAGGCCTCCTGTTCTCTCTGGGACGGTCCCCCAGGCCTCCTGTTCTCTCTGGGACGGTCCCCCAGGCCTCCTGTCCTCTCTGGGACGGTCCCCCAGGCCTCCTGTCCTCTCTGGGACGGTCCCCCAGGCCTCCTGTCCTCTCTGGGACGGTCCCCCAGGCCTCCTGTTCTCTCTGGGACGGTCCCCCAGGCCTCCTGTCCTCTCTGGGACGGTCCCCCAGGCCTCCTGTCCTCTCTGGGACGGTCCCCCAGGCCTCCTGTCCTCTCTGGGACGGTCCCCCAGGCCTCCTGTCCTCTCTGGGACGGTCCCCCAGGCCTCCTGTCCTCTCTGGGACGGTCCCCCAGGCCTCCTGTCCTCTCTGGGACGGTCCACCAGGCCTCCTGTCCTCTCTGGGAGGGTCCACCAGGCCTCCTGTCCTCTCTGGGACGGTCCCCCAGGCCTCCTGTCCTCTCTGGGACGGTCCCCCAGGCCTCCTGTCCTCTCTGGGACGGTCCCCCAGGCCTCCTGTCCTCTCTGGGACGGTCCCCCAGGCCTCCTGTCCTCTCTGGGACGGTCCCCCAGGCCTCCTGTCCTCTCTGGGACGGTCCCCCAGGCCTCCTGTCCTCTCTGGGACGGTCCCCCAGGCCTCCTGTCCTCTCTGGGACGGTCCCCCAGGCCTCCTGTCCTCTCTGGGACGGTCCCCCAGGCCTCCTGTCCTCTCTGGGACGGTCCCCCAGGCCTCCTGTCCTCTCTGGGACGGTCCCCCAGGCCTCCTGTCCTCTCTGGGACGGTCCCCCAGGCCTCCTGTCCTCTCTGGGACGGTCCCCCAGGCCTCCTGTCCTCTCTGGGACGGTCCCCCAGGCCTCCTGTCCTCTCTGGGACGGTCCACCAGGCCTCCTGTCCTCTCTGGGACGGTCCCCCAGGCCTCCTGTCCTCTCTGGGACGGTCCCCCAGGCCTCCTGTCCTCTCTGGGACGGTCCACCAGGCCTCCTGTCCTCTCTGGGACGGTCCCCCAGGCCTCCTGTCCTCTCTGGGACGGTCCCCCAGGCCTCCTGTCCTCTCTGGGACGGTCCACCAGGCCCTCTGGTTTTGGGGCTCTGAGGGCCCGGGCTGTCTGAGCTGTGGGCGCTGCTGTTGCAGTGAGGCCTGCGCCTGCTGCCCGTGCTCCTGGCTGGGCTCAGCCTTTGCTGCTGCTGGTGCAGGAGGCTGGCACCGTCACTGCAGGGCCTCGGGTGCTCGTATGACCGGGACTGGCAGGCTCGGGTGGCAAGGACGAGGCGGCTGTGGCATCTCAGGGTGGCGCTATGACCAGATGGACCCGCCGGCCACCCTGGAGGCCCCTGTGTGACTGTGCTCGCAGGCTGGGTGGGGGCCGGGCCCTGGGGAACAGGGCGGCGGTCGGCCTGGGAGGGGCTCCGACCTCCAGCGCATCCTGGAGGCCACCTGCCCGCTGGCCTGGTAACTGGGCGGGAGCTGAGGTGTGGGCGCAGCGGAGCCAGGCAGCCTGGCAGGGCCAGGTCGGGGCCCGAAGGCAGAGCACCCGCTACACCCTGGCTCAGAGGCTGCACAGCTGGGCACCAGAGCCTGAAGCACAGCGCCATGGCCTGCCCGCTGGGGGGGGGGGGGGGCACAGCACCATGGCCTGCCCGCTTGGGGGAGGGGGAGGGAGGGGGCTCAGTGGGGGAGAGCACCATGGCCTGCCCTGGGGGGGCGCACAGCACCATGGCCTGCACGCTGGGGGGGGAGGGGGGCACAGCACCATGGCCTGTGTGCTCGGTGCGGGGGGCGGGGGGGTGTCCAGCACTGGCTGGGCCTAAGCAGGCAAGACCCCCGTCCTCACCCGGTCACTGGGAGGCTGTGGACAGCACAGACCTGCTCAGAAGCAGAGGCTGGTGTGACCACTGGGCGTGGGGCTGGGGTGAAGGGTCTGCGGGCGCTGGGGGCGGGGACCAAGGTCTCTGTGGGGGCCACTCAGGCACTGTCTGGTCAAGGCCGAGACGGGATGGGTGGGTGTGCGTAGCAGTTGGGGTACGGCCCCTCAGGGGGCCCTGCTGGGGAGCATAGGGTGCAGGCACGTGAGAGGGGCCGGGGCCTCAGAACCTACGTGCCCCGGGGCCACGGGCCTGGCAGAGGCCCACCCCCCTGGCTGCAGGCGGCCGTGGCAGCATGTTTACTCGGCCCGCCACCACTCGGGGCAGGGAGGGGGCAGCGGGGCCTCGGTGCCCGCACTGGGGCTGCATTCCTGTGCCTCCGGCACAGCCTGCCCGGTGACCGAACCCCTGATGGACCCACCCCAGCTGCTGGGGACAGCGCCTCCCGGCACCTCAGCCCCGGCCCCCCACCCCGGGGAGAGCCACATGCCCGTGTGTGAGACGGGGATGCACGCGGGGTCTCACAGGGGCAGAGCGGGCGGGAGGGGGTTACTGAGAAGCAGACCCATTTCCTCAGCTTTTTACTGATGGTAAATGTATTCCCATGTTGGGCCCGCTCCAGAATTCAAATTAAAAGCATAAATAAAGACACATTTTGTTCCATCTCCAGCTCTCCCCGCCCGAAGGGCCCCAGGGAGGTGAGGTCACCGCAGCCTCCATTACGGAAGGTCCCGGAGCTGGGAGAAGCGAGGGTGGGGGCCCGAGGTCACTGAGCCAGCCCGGTGCAAACTGGGGAGTCGCTGGGAGCAGAGCTGGGGTCCAGTGGGCTGAGGAGACAGTGGCGTTAGCCACCCCAGCACTGTGCAGCCCACAGCCCCTTCCAGGCGGTCTCCCAGGTCCCCCGGGGCCAGAGGGAGCAGCTGGCTGCCCGCACCTGCGCCCACTCCGAGCCTGGCTGCGGGCTTCCAGGGGCAAGTATGAGGTAGAGGCAGGACATGCCGGGCACGGTGTGGGGATGGGGGAGCCCCTCCCTAACCCCACAGGAGGGGAGCCGTGCACCCCAGCAAGAGCCAGGGAGGTTTCCGGGGCTCTGCCCACCGAGGCACAGGCACAGCGGCGGGAGGAGAGGCCCCGGCCCCAGCCTGGCACATGGCGCCCTTCGGGACGCGCCTCGGAGTCCTCCTCCTCCCAGCACCCGCTCGCCCTCAGCGCAGAGGCTCAGGGCCGGGGTGGGCAGCGTGTCCTCCTCCCCCGCGAGGCCCTCGGCCGTCCCAGAGCCGTTAGCACGGGGCCGGGGACCCTTCTGGGGTGTTTCCCTGCCCGACCCTCGGCTTCTGGGGAGCAGGGCTGGTGCGGCTGCTCAGCCTCCCGGGCACCCTTAAAGCCCAGCCGGGGCAGCTCCAACCTCCCCCAGAGCAGACAGCCCCACCCCCTGCACCCCGCCACCCGCCAAGGGGCCGGCCAGCGCATCCCAAGGGGAGGGCAAGGACTCCGGGAGCCTCAGTGCCGACCCAGGGCCAGGCCAGCTGGGCAGAGAGGCCTGGGCAGGAGGACGTGGCTACCTTTCCCAGCAGCCCTGGGGACGGCAGCGTTCCATGCAGCCCCCCCTCACCAGCTCCGTCCATGGCACGGGGATCCCCACGACAGAGGGTGCAGGAGGCCGGGCCGTCATCAGCACAGCGACCTGTGCTCCCCGAAGGGTCCCTCCAGGAGAGCTGGTCCCCGGTCCCCTCCGTGGGGGGGACTCGCTCCTGTTTGTCCCCCCCCCCAGCCTGCCCTGCGTGGGAGCGTGCCACCCCGGGGCCCACAGGTGACCCCACACCCCGGCGGGCATGTGCTGCGGGCCTCCGGCGCCATGACAGCCCGTGGATCCTTGAGCAAAGCCAGCCTCGTGTGTGTTAATTAGAGTTTCCATGTCTTCAACTTTCTCCCGGGCCCTGCAGAGTCTCACGCCAAAACGTTCCCGTTTCTGCTTTCCAGCGAGGCCGCTGCGGCCTGGCTTCCGTCCACATCACTGCTCATGTCTCCTGAATTCTGCATCTGTCAGCGAGGCGGGGCCAGCCCGGCCGTGCCTGTTGGAAACGGGGCAAATGTCACAGGCTCGGCCCCGCGCTGGCTCCGGGGGGCCCGGGGTAGCTCTCGGGGGGACCACTTGCTGGGACACTTCAGTGGCTCGACGCCCACGCCCACGCCCACGGCGGCACGGGCACCGCCCCTCTGCCGGCTCCTTGCTCCGTTCCCTGCCCCGCAGACCTCGGTGGGAGGCTGTGCTGGGACCCGTGTCGGGCGGACGGGGAGGGGGCTTGCCAGGAACAGAAGAGACCCGTGTCCTGTCTCCTTCGGGGCTCGGACCACCTCTGCCTGCACGAGGTGCCAGGCGGCCCCGGGGGAGGGCTGTGGGGAGCTGTGAGTACAGGCTTCCCAA